TATACATAAAGTTAAGAAGCACCTATAATTCATGTATTTTAATCCAATATTTTTTTTAAAGATTTATTTATTTATTTATACAAGAACCAGGGCACAGGCCAGAGGCGTGGGAGGTGAGAGGATTCACCAGAGACAGAGTGGGGATCAGAACAGGCAGACGGATGAAATATACTGCTGAGAGGAGCAGTGGGCGAAACAGGAGAGGCCTGCTGCGCTATGTGGGACCCTCGCTGCCAGGCCGGGATCGAACCCGTGCTGCAAAGGCTGCAGACAGCTTCACAGCACTGCGCTCAACCACCTGCACCACCAGGGGAGGCCCATAATCCAATTTTTTTTTTTTTAAATCGAAGTTTTGGGTTCATATATGGGCAAAGTTTTGGGTTCATATGTAGTACAAGACAACCTAGGGAAGGTACAAAAATCATGCCCCTCCCTTCCTATCTCCTATCCTACTTCCAAAAGGCAAATTCAATTGTTTTTCTGCTCCTGCTTATTTCTAGGCTTATCTTTGTAAGTCTAGAAATTAAGCTTCTGATTCCTGACTTCAACTTCAGATAATAATCTCTTGAATCTCAGTTATAACAGATGTGAATTCAGAACATCTTTATTACTTGTTTCCAAATGCTTGATATTTGTATATTGCATTTGAGTTACTATTATAGTTTTAAGTAATATATTTTAAAACTTTACTTCTTTATGACATGCACTTCCTAAGAGGGAAAGTTGAAGTAACAGGGACTCAAAACATTATACGTGTTTCAGGTATATAGCATTATAAATCAACATTTGTGTATACTACATTATGATTGCCAATACATGTCTAGTTTATATCTAGCTAATCTCAGAGATGTGATATTTCCAGCATGTTCTCTCTGCCCAGGGGAGAATGGAGACAGAGGTTTGAACTATTGGCCATCATAGATCATACTGACATGTTCATCACAGAGTTATGAGACAAACCCACTGTTACCTGCTCCTTCCTATAAATGTGAAAACCCTAAGTACATAGAGACTAAAATTATGTTATTTATTAGCTATTAGATTAAGGAGGTAATTAAAGCAAATATACCTAGAAAAATAACAAAAAAGCAAAAAATACCTATAAACTAATAAAAATGATTCACAGTGACCTTCTCCCCAGGCCAACTCCTCATCCAAAAAGTCTCAATCTCTTGCCAAACTGAATCTCTAAACTTGTCTGAGCAATAGATGTAGCAACAAATGTGGATTATAGTTGAGAGACAGGCTCCCTTGCTGGGAATTGTTTCCTTTGTGTTTTTAGCATGGAACCTTACCTTGGGGCACTTGTCGCTATAGTTTTCATTTTTGTTTGGTTTTGTTTTCATTTTTAATAATTTATTTACTTATATATTTTTTTTTGCATCATTGTTCATTTTTTTTACATTGCTTGCTTTCTTTTCTCAGGTGTAGTCCCCATAGAATTTCTACCACCAATTTCCCCATGCACCATCACCATAGTCCCCCATGCATTCCCTTCCTCATCCTGATCCTTCTCCCTCCCCCTCCCCCACAGAATGTCTCTGATTCATAGTTGTCCATTTGTTTTTGTTTTGTTGTGTTGTGTTTTTTATTATTATTTTTCCCTGATGCCTTTTTCCTTATGTTCCTCCTATAAGTGAAACCATGCAATGTTTTTCTTTTTCCTTCTGATTTATTTCACTGAGCATAATCCCTTCTAGCTCCATCCATGTTGTTGTTAATGGCATTCGATTATCTTTTTTGATTGCTGAATACTATTCCATTGTGTATATGTACCACATCTTCTTGATCCAGTCATCTATTTTTGGACATTGGGTTGTTTTCAAGTCTAACCTATTATAAATAGTGCAATAATAGTCATGGGGGTACAGGTATTCTCTTTTTTTAAAGGTTTACTTATTCATGCATACAAGAACTGGGGTACAGGCCAGATGCGTGGGAGGGTACAAGGATTCACCAGAAACAGAGCGGGGAACAGAACAGGCAGACTGATGAAATACAATGCTGAGGGGAGCAGCGGGTGAGACAGGAGAGGTCTGCTGCGCCATGTGGGATTCTTGCAGGCCAGCTGGGATTGAACCCGAGCTGCAGAGGCTGCAGACAGCTTCACAGCGCTGCGCTCAACCACCTGCACCACCAGGGGAGGCCCGAGGTATTCTTTTGAATTAATGTTTTTATGTCGTTTGGGTAAATCCCTGCGAGTGGAGTGGCTGGGTCACATGGTTATTGTTAAGATCAGAGTGCTTCAAACTGTTTAATTACAGTATGTGGCTGTTATCTTGGCTTTGACTTTGGGTGAGAGTAAGATGGCTGTTTCACAGGTCACAGTAAGAGGCTGCAACTGGTATCCTCTTTTGTAAGGAGACGCACTTGATCTTACCTGACTCTCCCATCAGTTGGGTCTCCAACTTTTCTCGTTTGGGAGCCTCAGGCTCAAGTCAGCAACCACAGTCTGTATCCTTAATCCTATAGTTCTCCATTGGTGTGCATTCTGTCCTGCATGCTGACTCTGACAACCACGACCACCCCCTTTTCTACATAGTCCCTGCTTTTTAAAGTTCATGACGTGTTCATGTGCCCTTGAATTAACATAAGGAGAGAGACTATATGGCAGCTGTCCCTCTCTCTCATGGGTTTTACTGCCCAGGTATCACTGCAAACACAGTTTAATTACAGTTTTTTTTTTATTCCTTTCTATTATACCTTTGTTCTTGATACACTAAATAGTCTTTCATTTATCATTCAGGGTCTCTGACATTATTTAGGTGTTATTTGTTTGTAAATATATGGAAGAGGTAAGCCCAGCATCTTCACACTGCTGCCAGTTTGCTGGATTCCAACAAACTATTTTTTTTAAAGATGATTTGTATTGAATTTGTCTGGGTTTGATAGAATATTCTTGTACATACATACTGTATGTGTGTGTATGTGTGTTTGTGTTTGTGTATTTTTAATTATCCTCTCTTACTTTCAATTCCCTCTTTACAATAATGATAGTAATAAATAATATGTAGAACTCTTACTAAAATGAAATTAGTCTGCATTGATAAAGTAATAGCGTAGCATAGTTGCATATTAGATACAACATTTCAAAGATTTTTATAACTCCTGCCTCTTTGGGGTCTTGCTTTCTTCACTTTTTTTCCTGTACATTTTATACCTACTTCATGGGTTTGGTGATAAGATTAAATGGGATAATAGTTTCATAGGTTCAAAACAATACCCAGCACATGGTTATTGTTAATTAAATGTTATTTATTTTTATTAAATACCAGTAAGTATTAGCTATTAAATTGGCATGTAAAATGAAACCTGTTTCCCATCTTTGTTTCATCAGTATACACACAAATGATTAGGCTAAACTTAATTTGAGTTCTGAGAAACATTAGAAACGTATGATATAAACCATGCCACTCTAAGCATAACTATGACTCAAGCAATTTACCAGATTATTCATATCTATATATGTCCCAAATAATTAGAGAAATATAGCTGTAATGTTGAGAATCACATCCACATCCTTCATTCCAATTTGGCAATCTCCTAACTAAATAGCCAGGAAAATGGAGGTCAAATTACCTTCTTTATTGTGGATTAAATGGATTTGGAAAACTCTGTTGGCTGCATACCCATATTGGCTCCTAATATATTCACCACTGAATTGAATTCCCACACCATGACCCTATCAGGGCCGAGGCACCCATGATAAAGTCCTTTTATGAAAGTTAGTTAAATGAAGATCTGGGAAGCCATAATGCTTGGCTTCTTTCCTCAGTTTACCAATCAATAGTCATTCTTGCTCTCTTGGGGAAGACTGATTCATAACATACAGATATGCCTATGTCTTGGCCATAGAAGTAGTAAAAGAAGAGAGAGAACAGTCCTCACTGACATGCCTCCTTCATTAATGTAAACATTTGACCTATATAGTTAATCCTTTTGAAGTATTGAAAAATTTGAGGATAAACATTTTCAGGTAATAATACAAAAGTTGATGCCTCAGGAAGCAACATAATCCAGAGTGAGTTTAGTCAATGAAATCTACTCTTTCAAAATGAAGGAGAGTAATAGCAGGTAAATCAACCTAGAAATAGGATAAATTGATTGAAAATAAATATTATAAATATTTAAGCAGCACAGTGGGCCAAAAGCTACATATGAATTATCTCTCTCGTTTTAAAACCAAACATGATAATAAAAATTAAAATAGGATATGTAAAAATAAGTGCATTAAGCATTCTTCCAACTCACATGGCGGTATTTGTTTTTTGAAAAGTAGGTATAAAGCAACATGAGAAAAATCATAAATTTCCATAGAATATCAGTTAAAAAATAGATAAAATACAGGTAATGTGGAACAGTAGAAAGAAAAAGCACATATTTGTTTGAAACACATAGATTTGGGTTGGAATATTAATCCTATGACATACTGGTTGAAGGGCTGTAACCATGCTAGCTGACCTCCCCTAGTTTCCTTGCCTTCTCTCAAATGAGAGTAATTTATATGGTTGATGTTTCAGAATACATTTCATCAAGCCCAGTCTATGGTAACCTTTCAAATACAAATAGTTTCCCCACTCCCTAGAGCCTGAAAGAAATGAATTAGTTTTGAATGAGAAGAGGTGACTTGGTCTGCCTTTCCTTCCAGTAAACAGTCTCTTAATACCCTGAAGAGTCTGAGCTGGAAGGAACAGCCTTAAATTGCATCAATTTTCTTCTGGACTTTCGGGGAATATAAAACTGGAACAGGTCTGAGATCCTAGAGTGTTCAAACCAGGAAATCATTCAAATTAGTCAAAAGTATGTATATAAATAATTTGAGAATAACCTTGTCTGATCTCTACTGCATGAGTTTTAATCACAGGTATTCTACATGGTTTTACAGACTGTGATCTTATCTACTTACCTTGAGATGAAACTGCTCCAAATATTTTCTAAAATATATTTGTCAATTTAATACATAATACATATTAATTCCTAAAAAATACCTATTTTTATAGCTTTTACAACTGGGACAGTCAGATTGCTGTTTGGAATTCAACTCCCAATTATCAAGTGATTGCGGATAATCCAGAAGGCTTACTTTTCAAATACAAAAGATATAGAAAAATTCTCAATGTGGACCCAAAGGTAAGCCTGTCTTTCTACTTATATATCTCTTCAAATTTTATTGTATTTCTACTATTATTCAAAGACCTATCAAGTATATGACACTCTATTTTTTTTCTTTCTTTTCTAAAGATTTATTTATTTATACAAGAGCTGGGGTACAGGCCAGAGGTGTGGGAGGATGAGAGGATTCACCAGAGACACAGTGGGGAGCATAACAGGCAGACTGACTGAGCATAACAGGCAGTGGGGAGCATAACAGGCAGATGGCTGAGGGGAGCAGCAGGCATGACAGGAGAGGTCTGCCGTGCCATTTGGGTATCTCCTTGACCGGCTGGGAATTGAACCCTGCTGCCGAGGCTGTGGAAGCTTCATAGCACTGCGCTCAACTTGCTGCGCTATCCGGGAGGCCCCAATCTTAAAGTTTTTAATTTGGAAATGAAAGGTTGTTGAAACTTAGAGCATGTACTGTTCTTAAAGAAAAAAACTCAAAGCTTAATAAATAATCAAAAATCAATAAGGCAGAGTTGGATTTTAATAGAGCTCCCAAATAGGAACATTTCTCCATGCTTAGCAGAAAAATTACACCAAATGGAAAGTGCTCAGTTAAGGAGATATATTCTTTTTTTTTTTTAAATCCCAAAGGGCAGGTTTATTATAAGAAGGGAGAGAATAAAGGACACTTGCATAGATACAAGTGGGGAGATAAAGCTGCCCTGGAAAGGGAGTGGTTTGTTAAAAAAGAGACTGCGTAGATCCAGGCGGGCAGCCTAGGAAGGAGAGCTGCCTCTGCTGCTTTGCAAAGGGAGAGGGTTGATGAGATGCACCTGCATAGGCACAGCCAGGCAGAAGGGCTGCTGCAGAGATGTATTCTTTAGGGAAGGGAGATTCTCACTTTACATATGTTCTTAGAATATGTGACTAACACTGAAAAAATATGGCCCTTAGTGCATTTCCATTGACTTAGAACATACATTTTATTTAAATTTTAATAGACATGTCCCATGATATTTTGAATTTGTTCCTGGACAAATATTTACACTTACATATTTTTAAAGACTGCATTTGCATCCTGCCTTGGATTCATGACTTGTCATATGTCTGGGGATGAAGGTTGAAATTTAAAGTCCTATGTGCTAGGGTTGGTTAGTTGGTTTTTTTTTTTTTTCTTTCATAATTTTTGAAAAATGTTATCACATGACAATATCTGTCTAAAATCAAAAGTGAAGAAAAATATTCCTACTTATTGGAAAAAATCAGAATTATATGGTATGTCTGGGCTAGGAACAAAGATGGACACATTTAAAGGGGAATCTGCTTCTAAAAACTTTCCAATATTTTTTGGTCATCAAAAGTAAAATATAGGGCCTCCCCAGTGATGCAGCGGTTGAGCGCTGGGTTGCGAAGCTGCCTGCAGCCTCTGCAGCGCCGGTTCGATCCACGGCTGCTCCCCGGCCACTGGAGGAGGGTCCTGCATGGCGCGCAGACCTCTCCTGCCGCCCACTGCTCCCCTCAGCAGTGTACTTCGGTCCTTCTGCCTGCTCTGCTCCCCGCTCTGGCTCTGGTGAGTTCTTTCACCCTCCCGTGCTTCTGACTGTACCCAGTGCTTATATAAATAAATAAATAAATCTTTTTTTTTTTTTTAAAGTAAAATATAAAGAAGGTATTTGTTTCATATTCATTTCAGCTTCATACAATCAGACCATTGTAATAAGGTGCTGTCTGTAGTCAGAAGGTTGTTTTTCAATAGCACCAAACTATAAAAATGAGAGAATACTAGGTATTTAAATTTGTCACGCTGGAGGATTATGAATCTGGATTTAGAATACACAAATAAACAATTTTTAAAGAGTTTCATTTCCACACACAAGTGCTCAATGAATAAATGAAATTTTACAGCAAAAAATATATTATTGTCTGATAGCAAATGCAGCTCTATAGCTCCAAATATAGAAAACTCCTAGAAAGTGGTTTAAACAGAATAGAAGCTCCTTTCACTCCCATTTGTAACTCTAATGTCAGCCCATAGTGGAAATGACAGTTTCACAGTCATTTGGGCCTGGTCAGCCCTCATCCTTATAGGCCAAAATAGATCTCTAGCCAGAACAACTACATGGCAAAAAGAATGCTGAAGGATGGTAAGAGGGAACAAAGGCCTTGGCCTTGCTGCCTTTTAAGGAACTTTCCCCAAAGTTACCACACTCATTCACTTATATTAGATGGCAAAAGCTTAGTCACACGGCTAAGTCTTCTGTCATATCTGGACAGAAGACTGCAAACTGTCATCTTTATTTAGGAGGCCATGCACCCAACTGAAGGCAGAAGTTCTAATTGAGGGAGATGAGACATTTGTATAGACAGCTAGCAGTTTCTGACACAAATGTTATCCCCCTCAAAAGAACACTAATTTTCTTTGGCCTCAGGGTTTTTTTATTAGTACAATGAAATATAGCTCCAGAAAAGCATTAGGGCCATATTTATTGTGAATACCAAAAAAATTTATAAGTACAGTTTCTCTCTAGTGGTGCCTCTTTACAAAAATGGATGTCAGAATGTTATCAGTTGAAGCAAAGTGCAAAAAACTTAAGAAATATCATTCACAAAGTCTTTTCCTTTTAAAAGGCTACACTAAAGATATTTAAGAAGAGATATAAAATCAGTAGCTTCATTAAAATGTGTGAAACAAATTTTTGAATCAGTTTTGAGTTACCTCACATTAAACTATATTAATGATGGCATATACATACTTTAAGAATGTATGTCATGAATTATAGTTTTATAGCCTGAGGCATTATTATTGAATGTAAAGTTCTACTTAAGCATGGTTCAGATAACTTTTTATAATTTTATTTACGTATTTTTATTGAGGTAACATTAGTTTACAACACTGTATAATTTAGGAGAATAGGTTTACACCTTCTCAGTTGTATATCACCACACCACATGTCTCACCGAAGCACACATATTCCTTTACCTAACTTTCATTAAGACCTTGCTTTCCAAAATAATCAGGCATGAGATTTCAAAGAATGTGTTAACAGCACATGAACTATCACATTTTCCTCTTTTTTTTTTTTTCTGGAAGATTTTGACTATAAAATATTCAAGAGAAGTCTGAAGGGACAGTATTTAAACATCTTGGAGATAGAGCAAGGATTTTGTTATTTGATGAGTAAAGTGAAAAATGATGAATGATGAGTAAAGAATTGTTGGATAAGACATATTAATGATTTTCTTTATATTTTATTTTAATTTTATCTTTTTTGAAAATAAAAATTAAATAGCCAACTTCCTAGAAATGAATGTTGGTCTTCACATTAATAACAAAAATTCTAAGTCTTTATTGTTAACTGGCTGCATGACCTTGAACAAATCACTTAACCTCCCTGGGCATTAATGTTCACAACTGAAAGAGGAGAACTTTGTTGTGCTGTTGCTTGATCTCTAAGGTTCCTCTATAGCCCCTGAGTCAATCTGAAGAGATTCTGATTCGGCTGGACCCAGAAGTACATAGTTTATAAGTAGTCTTTGTGATTCTGCTACAGATTGCCCATGAATCGCACTTTGAAAAATTCTCCACATAAAAGCAGTAATCTCAAAAAATCTGGCACTGTCTCCTCAAACACATGTTCTCAAAGATTTGTTATCAAACAAACTATAACACATATATTTCCTTTGTTGTGGACTAGATATAAAGTTAGCATGTACATCTCCTACAGAATTTAAATTATTAACTCTCTTCAAAGAGCCATGTCCCTTCTATAGTACATGTGTCCATATAGTATTTCTTACCACTCTACAGAGAGAACCAAAAAATGAGTTAAACTGTCAAGTTTTTTAAACAATAAATACACTAACAATTATATGTTTATACTCAATAATTTCTTTATAATTTTTCTTGAAATTCTCCTAAAATGAACACCTTCTTGCAACTCCAGGGTCATCAAAGTTAAACTACTGTTGAACAGTAAACTTACCTTTCCTTCCTCCTTATGTACTCTCTTTGACATAGTTTATGCTTAAAATTAAAGAAGTCAAGATAAATGAAAGGTGGAAATAGTGATAAACAGGATGTGTTTCCTTGTACAACACAGATGTAGACTCATTAATTCTGAAGTATGGTTCCCATGAAGCACAGTTGTTTGTGAATGGTAACAGTGGAAAAATGAAAATTGTGCAGGTCTTAGAACAAGTAATATGAGTTCATTGGTTAAGAAATTCCAAATGCAATAAGAGTTTGGTTGCATTGAAAACAGGACCACTGGCTTTAACTTCCCTGCAGCTGTATAACATCTGGAACAAATAAGGCAAGTTTCTATTTTTGAGTGAAGAATGCTTGTCTGAGTGATTCACACCCACCAAAATGTTTCCAGTGGTATTATCTTTAGAAGGATTGAGTGGAAGTACTTTGCACTCTCTCCCCTATATTATCTGGGCATGTGGGGGAAAAAAATTGGAATTTTTATTTTGTTTTTAGGAAACATTAACTATGGGAGCATTTACTTTGACTCTTAACAAAGGTGATCTAAAACCTTTGTGATCTACTAATAAGAGAGAAAAATGGTTTAGAATAGTTAAAACAGGAAAAATCTTCCTTAGTTACTCCAGCTTTGTTCCCCTCTCCTCTTCCATTCACTAAATAGAAGAGCCTATCACCTGGAAAAGTGTTAACAGATACTCCAAATATTCTGGGAATGAATGATTGAATGAGTCCCTCCAAACTCATAAAAATAATGCTACACTAATTAAAAGTTGAAGAGTGAATTATGATACTGATATTTAATGAAATGATGAGAGTCAGAAAAGGTACAGTCATACATTTTATACTGATTCAAATAAGTTAGAAAAAAAGATTGCAGGAACATATCAGTGGAAATAGCTAAAGCAGCCATAAATTTGGGTTTCACAGAGCTTATGCTGAAATCTTTATTTTGGTATGTGTTTTCAAGTCTTCATGTGTAGTCTCTGGGATATGTAATTTAAAACATCTCAAATTAAGACTCTTGAATTAGGACATGTTT